CAACATTATTCTCCGCTGCAGGTATAGACAATTTTAATTTTAACTAAAATGCTTATTTTACTTCGAAATATTTTGTTTTTATTTGAAATCTAACTTGTCTTTATCAAAATTACAAATCTAGAGCCATTTTCAGTTTTGTTGTTAACGAAGCGTTGAATGGCGCGCCCGGAGAGGCTTAGTTCAAACGATCATTGCAAACGTTGTGATAGGGATAGAGACATGCGATTTTTGGTTTTACGAAGGTAATACGATAGAGAATAATACAAAGTAATAAAAACTACCGGTTATAGGGGCATTTTTTGGAGAAATTTATCAAATAACCAAAAAAACACGAATTTTTAAGAAGATTTTTTTCAATAAGTATCATTTTTTATTATTTGTTGGCCTTTTTGTGTATTTTATGTATTTTTTTAGTATCGCCTGTTATTTTGCATTATTACTGTTTTTATTTTATCAGGATGTACCGATTAGTTTAAAAGTTATTACGTTTTCTTTACAATAAGTAATTGGAAGAAAAAAAATTCTATAAAAAATTAAAAAAAAATCTCAAAAAATTTTTGACCTCTTTTTTGTCGATAAAAATAGGTCTAGTTTCATCTATTTTCATCGTTCGTTCGTTCGTTTCAGCCAAATGACGTCCACTGCTGCATCTATTTTCATATGTACACTTTAACGTGACTCACACTGTATTTTAATCAGCTTTTAAAAAGCGCTTTTAAACGCCCCAGGTATTATTTTAACCCTACTTAGTACCTGCATCGGGACAATAAATCCACCAGTGCGAAAAGATGCAGCGCAAGAAACATGTCACCTTTGTCAGAATCTTTTCAAGGATTTACAATAGCATTTTTAATTTTCAATATTGATGCCAGCTATCTTGAGAGAGTAAAGTGCATTTTGTGCAGAAATATTTCGAAGTGTCTCAAATATGAGATAAAAGACACAAAGGTGCAACTCGGAGACTGTTTTAAGCTGTAGGAAAACGAATGCAGCCAGCATTCCTGAACGAGTTGTTGCTTTGCATTTGTTGTTTCGCGTCGAAACATTCGCTTCTACCGAAACACTTTGCAGCGATGTCTCAAAGGATCAAAGTGGGAGGTGTGTGTCAAAGGATTACAGCCATACAGCCGCCATTGTTTGACTCGGACATTAAATAGTTAAGCTGCGTGGATTTTAACAAGTTCAAATGAATATTATAAAAATACTTCAATATTACCTTGAAAGATAAATAAAAATTAAGTACATCGCGCTCATACAGCTTCACAAATTCAATCTATTTAAAGTTTTAGATTGGATATTTAATATTTAAACTTACCATAAATTAAAGAAACCATTTAACATAATATTGCAACATCTATAAAAGGAATAAGCTATCTCGTTAAGGCCGAAACCTTACTAGTAAAAGAAAAATATTTAAGAATTCTTTTTAGAGAAAAAAGGGTCTTATACGAAAAGTTTGATATTTCATTAGGATCTAGACAGAGCGTTTCTAATCAACGTACCACTTTCGGGCGGCGGTTAGTAGAAAAATGATTCCGCTCCCCATGGAAGGTAATGAGAAGGCATCGGCTCGGAATCACCTTGAAAACTCTTTGATTGCTTTTTGACGAACCTCGGACAAGGTTGCTGTAGACACATCAGTCATTTTCCTCTCTCTTTTGTCTTGTCATCAATTAAAAAGTTGTTCGCGACTACAGTGGCGTCCTCTGACGTCAATCGGCGAAGCAAACTTGTTTTCAATAACTTTGAGAAAATTAAAAATTCGAAGCGACGTAAAACTTAATTTCAAACGGCTTCCTCTCCTTCATCGCAACTTGTCCTTTGAACTAAGGCAAAGTATGGGTTGCGTTCTACGCGCGCCATCTAATAATCTAGGTTAAAAGAAGTCATGTAAGAAACAGAAAAGTTCCAACTTTAAACTAACGAGAAACTTTAATGAACGGCCTTTAAAAGTTTGACAACATGGACTTCACCCATTTCACGTACGTCGTGCTAGGAGCAGTCAGGCTAGAACTTTTACAATTTACACCATTCCTAAATTAAGTCATTTTAAAATATTTAAAAAAGTTAGTGTGTATTATTAGGCCATTGCACACCGCCATGTTTTTTTTTTTAATTTTTATTATGGCTCGCGCGGCTTGAACCGCCATGTTTAGCAATTGACACTTCATGTCACACATTTACTGGGGGGTAAGAAGTTCGCAGGGCCAGCTGGTACATTATAAAGAGTGTCAAGAAATGAAGAGTTTGGCGTTCTGTTTTATCGAAAAAGTTTGAGATATCAATAAACGTTAGCTCTTCGATTAATAATCTTGATAATCTAATTTGATTGAATACTGAAGTGCGACTTAATGATTATCTTAATTTTATATCTCGCATCTCAAAGAATCTCGGCCTTTGACTAATTAATAAAGTAACCCATTAATTATTATACGAATAAATAACAAGCGCACCTAATAGATTCTTGGAATAGCAAAACATTGAAATGTAGACTTTAACAAGTTAATAAATACATAACTTAATCTTTTGTGAGGAAGCGCCCACTCACGCCTACCCTTTTAAATTTAATTTATATAGACATTATTTGGATGTGTTTCTAAATAGGCTTTGGTTGATAGTTACTCGTAGTCGTAAGTCGTAGCTAAATACCGTAGCATAAGCCCGTAGCTGTGTAGCAGCCTTACAACCGTAGCAGTTTCGTAGTCGTATCGGCCGTAGAAAAATGTTGCTCCAAATTCTTGCAAAAGTTACAGTTGACGTAGAAAGTACACGTGAAAAAAAGCCCTAGATTTTTCTTATTTCCAACCTTGAATTGACTAACATTTCTCTAGGCATTGCCGCGATCACGCGGATGAAGCCTTGCATTCAAACTCAAAGTTCCAAAGTAAATCAATTCAATACTGTTGGTCAACTTTTCAGGCTTTTTAAGGCTCCCTAAGAAGAAAGGGTAACGAAATACAGAGTATTGTTGCGCAATCAGCGCAGTTTCTTCGGTTTAGAATTTCGCCATTAGCACGCCCTTTTTACATTGGGGGCCGTATAATTGTTTAAAAGCATCCTGGTCTAATGAGGATTCATATCAGCGGGGATCACGAGGGTCAGCGCTGACAGCGAACCAACAAAGCGCACTTGCAACATCCGAGATTGTAATGCGACGCAAGGCCTAGGGCTCCTGGCGCGGCCCGCGGTCTTATTGTAAGCCGCAGCTGCGCGATGCTCACCGTTACGCGCAGTGCTTTAAAATAGTTTCCCTCTTCTAATTAACTAATTGTGTACCTCCAAACAGGGAGAGCTTTGTTAGTTTGATAGAATGAAATATGTCGGACGAAGCCATAATCCCCGATCGCACGTGATGCTTCCCGCGCCGATCACATGGTTATTATATTTTGTGAGTAGTTACATAACGGGGTCAAATTGTGTCGTTTTTAATATCGAGGGCCGGCGGGGACTGCACCGGGTAATTGAAACAGGTTTCATTGGAAGCTAAAGACGGGGAGGGGAAGGGGTCATTATTACAACTGAAGTAATATTTAGAGAAAATACAATAATGCTATATGCTTACTCTTCAGATCGGAATTAAAAATGCTTTTAGGGTTGGTTTGGTCATCTTTCAAGTTGTATGTATGATTTTCCAACAATGGGATGAAGACAAAATATTATGTAACAGAACACATTCTATCATATTTGAAGCTACATTACGGTTGTTAGTGCCAATGCGTGAGTAGGGTTGAGCAATAATTTTATTAAGGCACGAGCGCGGAGTTTTCAGTGGCGGCGGCCGAGTGGCGTGGTGTCCAAGCACGCCTGGACGGGGAGGGGTTTAGCAGAGGGGGTGGTAGATTCGCGAATTCGCGCCTACCCGCTGGGGCGCATACTGCGGAAATACATTTCACTAAATACGAACCTATACAGTGTCCTGAAGGGGTGAGGTGGGCTGCATGTACCTATGTAAATACAAATGATGTCTCCGTGCAGCGGTTTATTCGATTCGAACTAGCGGTTTATAGTGGCACTTCACACAACATGGAAGTGTAGTATCAATACGCAATCATTTATTTATGGGTTCTGTATACTTGTAGTACGCAAACTATGAGAGAGGAGGACCAGCCTAGATTAGCTGAAAAAACTGTTTTAGAAATTGGAATTCCATTTGGATACTCGCTCGTGTAAACAATTCCGAGTATAATTAAAATTAAGGCTAAAATAATGCTTCGAAGATGAAGCAAAATAATAACAAATTGCTTGTCGATCGTCCCGTTGAATATAAAAACGTAATACCTACCTGCTGTTTACGTCAACTGTGGTCCCCACTGAAGACTACGGCTTGGCTCTCTTTAAAAGATTCTCACGCACCTAGCATGCTCCCTGCGTACTTGTAATATACTTGTAAGTGTGTCTTGATCAAGTGCACATTAAAAAATAGGTGAAACTAGATCTATTTTTATCGATCGGACTCAAATTTTAATTCCTTTGGTTATTTGATTTTCTACAATGCCCATATTACAGGTGCATGGTGCGCCCGGAGCGACTTAGTTCAAACGATCATAGCAAACGTTGTGATAGGGATACATGAGATTTTTTAATTTTACAAAGGAAATACAATAGAGAATAACAATAAGTAATAAAACCACCTGTAATAGGGGAAATTATTTGGAGAAATTTATCAAATAATAAAAAAAAACAAAAATTAAAATACAGATTTTTCTCAAAAATTACATTTTATTATTACGTTGCCATTTTCTGGGTATTTTATTAGTAGGTATCACCTGTTATTTAGCATTATTACTGTTTTTATTTCATCAAGATTAACAAAAGGATACCTCTTGGTTCAAAAGTTATATGTTTTCTTTACAATAAGTAATTGAAAGAAAAAAATCTATGAAAAATTCCATATATTTTTTGTAATTTTTTCCTTGGACAAAAATGGGTCTAGTTTCACCCATTTTCATATGTGCACTTTATCAAGACTCACACTGTATTAAGCTTTCCTCGTGGCTAACCTGAGAACATGGGCATGGTGAGCTCGGGATGCAGCTGTGACAGCTGGCGGGACAGGTACAGCTGCGAGCGGCAGTAGGTGGTGCACAGCAGAGCGTCCAGCGTGCCGCGCTCCTTCTCCGAACCTGCGGCAAACAGAAAAAACATTCAGTACCTCATTCTACTTCTCTACCTTCTTCCATTTGGGGTCGGCCCTCCTCCTGACACCAAGACAAGTCACACAAGTCTGTCTTGCTTCAAAACTCATTTTTAAGGTAAACGGCACGAACATTTAAATCTGACTCGACGAGACATGTCATTCGATTTAAGAGGTAATTGCCGACTGACGCACAGCTACCGAATGACCGTCGACATTCCTAAAAATGTTTACAGATATATTCTTAACCCAATTTTCTCCGAATCAATGCGGTGGTTTCATTAAAGCAATTATTAGGTAATACTTTGAACAGCGCGCACACAAAATCATATTCAATCAATTTTACCGTTTGCGCAGAACACGATTGAATAGATAAATTAAGTTGGTATTATTAAAGATATGTGCTGTATTATATTAATTAATACATAATTAATTATTGATATTGTTTCGATAAAGCAACGCCAACGTAAAAGGAAGCCAGGAATGTTATTATTAAAATTTAATTAAGTTTTTTTAATGTAAAATACACTTGAATAAATAAATAAAATAATCGAGCAGTTTCTGGTCATCGTCTATGATGGACGGATGGATGTTTTTACTCTCATGCAAAGACCCTTCAAATATGGCATCAGAACAAAAAAGAACCTGCAGGCACATTAAGGCGATTAGTGTCCTCAATCCGCGTGAAGTGGTCATTTTGTAAAGCCTACTCCTCTTTTACTGCTGGACAGAAATAGTTGAAAAAAATATATGTTATACAACAGTTCAAGGACTACATTTGACACGTTTGAATTTTTCCTATGTCTCTTTGTTGTGGATTAAAAAAATAAATACGGGACATCGATTTTTTACTTCAATTCCCTACTCCTCCCAAACGGCTATGTTAATTTTAAAGATTTTTGCACGAATAGATTAAGAATTCTTTAATCTTTAAATGACACGTTGCGTTTTTCAATCGAACATTACTTTCATTCATAAATTTTACTTTTGATAAATTCCGAACGTTTTGCTGTTGAGGGGGCCTTCGCGGGGTGCGGGCGGCAGTCGGCCGCTGGCCTTCAGACGGGGAGGTTGTGTCACTCGCTGCAAACTGACATTAGCGATCAAAATGAATTTTTTCTTTGGCTGAGTTGCACCACCTGACGTGACCTAACTTTGACCGTAGCTTTGGCGATAACCGGTGTTTTTGTGTATGGAGTTTGACAGATATTTGACTTTTGTCAAATTTAAAATAAGATGGTACAACCCAGCCTTTGTTTGACAATATATTTTATGTCAGAGTTGTTCATAGAGTACGTTCAGTCAGACGATACGATTGAATTAAGGCATGCTTGGACGCTATTATCTAATTGTGGTTACGTTTCGGTCCACGATCGCCACTTAATAGATTTCAACAATAAAAAGTATCACCTTTAAATTTTTTTTTTAATTAAATAAAAATGCAAGCGTTAATTTTTTTATATAATAAAACGAGATTTATATATAATACTAACTAAAAATAAACTGTTCTATGTTAAGTTGATTGAGTATATGTATAAAATACAATACATAACCAAATGATGCTGCGTGTAATGTATAAAAAACGTAAAGTCATCATTTGTGTAAATGAAAACATACTTTTTTTTGGTAAATGTTGCCATTATGTAAACATTTGAGAGCTGCTTAGCTGATCACGGCTTCAAATCCGTTGAGTAGCGTTTGAGAATACCATTTAAAATTGAAGGATACTTAAATTTAGGAGCCCGTCAGCTGAGTGACAGATTTGAGTAGTGTTTCAGTATTCGGCCGTAACTAATTCAGCTTGCAAAATTCCACCCGAACAAACATAGTTTACACACAACATACATTTTAAGCTAAATAAAATAAAATAAAAAATATTATCCTATACAAAATGTTCATGGATTTGTAATTTTTGTTAAATATATAATAATACCTTACTATACGGTGCGCTAGTTTAGAACATTTCGGGCGATCACTTGCGCCTGGGTTGAATGACATCGACATCAAGGTTCATCAATTCAAGTTTAAAATAATAGGCAGTAATGTATGAAGAAAGAGCTTCTATTCTGTACCTACCTATGCCCGTGTATTTTTGATCGGTGTCAAATCGGAGTTTTCGTGCGGGGTGCGCGGGTGTTGTGCGAAGCGTGAAGGTCAAACGCTCAAGGTCATTGAGGACTCTAATCGCCTTAATCAAGAGGGGTGCACCGTGCCTGTTTACTTTTTCTGAAAACAGAATGTCCTTTTGCCTTTTCATAACTGCGTATCTAGCACATGGTCAAAGGAAGACTCAACGAGGGGTCACTACGCACATAAAGATCGTATAATTTGTCTTTCTTTACTTATGGTGCCCAGCATTTATTGAAATAAAAAAATATATCGTATCAGGTCTTAAGGTTAGCTATTTTTCAGGACAACGAAAGCAATATCGCCAATACTTATTCATGCTTCAAATCGCTGACTGTAAAATAAATACAACAGAAAACTTCCATTGAAGTTGGTTAATCTTGTTTTATTAACGCACTCGGCGCGCGAGAAGCGCCGTCCAACTGCACATTAAATAACATAATAGTGTGATATCAATGCGCTCCTTCAAGTAAAGGCATCATCTTTATAATCAAAGCTTGGAACTTCCCGTCAAGTCAGACGATCATCTTGTACAAGGAGTCAAACAATTTATGTTTTCGAGGCTCACAACATACTTCTGATGGTTTGTGGACTTTGTAATTGAAGTTTTGAGGAAAAACATCAAGTTTTTTCCTCCATAGCGCCTCAACTATTCATCCTAATTTAATCAGTAAGGTGTCAATCGATTTGTTGTTATGACCCGAGTAACATAGGTAACATTTTAAATTGAACGCACAATCATCAATTCCGAACGCGTCGATTTTTTCCATAGTCGGGTTACAGTTTTTTTTTCTCATCTTTTTATTAGCCACTGTGTCCGCAAACAAAATCTGCGCCACTTGCTTTGTTCACCCGTCGCCAGCGCCGGTGGTTTTGTTTAATTGCCTCGCGTCCGCCCCCTGTCGTACATGACTTTTATGTCAAACCTATTTTAAACGCCCCCTTTTGATCACAGAGCTGCGGCAAGTTCGTTATTTTTAGTTTCACGTACCTTTGTTTGGTTTCAGGGGATTCCATTCAAGGCCTCCATTTTGTTATCAACACAATTTCAAGTAACGTGGCTCATATTGCACTGGTTTTAAGCCCTGGTGCAGCTTATTACACACGAACTATTTTCATCGGCATTTATCTTATATTACTCTAATCGTAATAAATCGATTGTAGTTAACGAACTTTGCTATCAAGCCAAGTAAATAGCCTTATGAGTTCAGCAAAAGTAACTCCAAGCACGATATAAAACAAATTCAACTTTGCATGTTACTTAGGAACATCATACTTATAAGAGTTCGTACTTGCTCACAAGTCACAACTACTTAAATGTGTGTTTAGTACGACAGAGCAATTTGTCGCCATACTTTATTAGAGGTAACTTATACTCATACATAAATTATTTCATATTTAATGAATGATATTATTTTATTTTTTCTGATACTCCGAGTTGTAGGTGTAGGTATAATGAAACCTATTAATATTGTATCATTCTTCTACGAATATTCTTGCTTGTACCCTTCGAGGCAGCTTAGAGACCCGAAATCCCCCGAGATGAAGTCAAGTCTAATTAAACATCGCACAAACATTATACTAGGTAAGCCATTTAGACTACAGGAATATATCCAAACAGACAATCATAAGTGTAGGTACAACCGAAAAAACACAGCTATCCGTCTTTTCAACGACGAAACAGCTTTCTAATACTTTAGAGTGCCATTTGCAGGCACTTTCTTCCATCTCACACAAAAGTGGTAGCGGTTCGTGGAAACGTAAGGCAGTAAATACCTAACATTTTCTTATTTTAACACTCTGCTGCTTTTACATCTTGTACCTATTCTAAATCTTGTTTTTCTATGAAAATGTAGCAACATTGCAGGTTCTTTAAGTAGCATTAAAACTTTGACGGCTGATGTTAAATAATGTTCACCGCAGATTGTGTTGTTAAGCGCAAAACTTGAGAACGGTTTTCAAGGAAGGTTCTTATCATGAGAAAAAACATAATCATTGCGTGGAAAATAGAAATTTCTTTTTGACCGACTGACTGATATCAACGCACAGCTTAAGCCCCTACATCTGGACCCCAGAGACTCAGGGCAAGTACCTAGGTAGGGTGTACTATGAAAGGATTTTCCAAAATGTATCCCCTAATTCACGCGGATGAAGCCACGGCAAAAGCTATTTTGTAAATATAAACCACTTCACGGTCTAGTGAGCACTGACTAAAAACATAATTAGCAAAATAAGAACACCATTAACGCATTTCAATAAGCTCCCAGAATTTAAGCACTAATACATGTATTTAATACAACCCGGTGCGTGAAGTTTTATAAAAAATATTTGCGGTTTTTATCAGTAAGTTCCAATATTAATGCTGATACTTACACAAGCACTTTTATACGATTTTACTATAGAATACACCATTTTGATTGCGCTAAGACTATGTTTTTCGTCATGGTCATGTGTCAAAGTTTAAGGAGATCAATCACTGATCACTGGTTATAATATTCCTGCTTCTTCGTTGCGGTTACAATATCGGATACACTTTCCAAGACTCGTGTGCCCTGGCTGTGTTTCATTGCCGGCCATTTAATCAAAAGTGTCAGTGGGAACGAGAGGGAACATATTTCTGTTTGTAAATTGAAATGATATATTATTATGGATATTAAAATAATATTGTTTTCATCGCGGAAGTTTTCAGGAAATGCGTTGTGTAAACAATGTTGAAGCTCATGTGAACAAACCAAAACGATCCGACTGAACTTTATCTACCAATGTAGACCTTAACGCCATGGCCGAGGGAAACCATACATTCAGGGCTTCGAAACCAATTAGTGCGCGTATTGGTAAAGTAAGTACACGCGAAACCTAAGG